ATTAAAACAGAGGCGAAAAGAAAAATTTGACTAATGTCCAAAAAACCCCCAAAAATGGGCTGGAAAAAAGTATTGGCACCCTTAATTTAAATTTTTGGGTTTAAAACCCTTGGAAAACATAACTAAAATTTCAGTCGTTCCCTAAAACCATCTTTAAGCTTCTGACCCTCTCACCCGGAATTTTGGGACCCTTTCCCTTTTTGCAAACAGCTCCGGTCTCTCTTATTGGGGACCCTTTTCCCCAGCAATTTTAAGCTCCCCACGGGTGTTCAATGGGATTTAGATTGGGCTCATTGGGGCCTTTGGGGTATTGTCCTGCTGGAAGACCCAGGATATTGGACGCCGAAACCCAGCTTTCTGACACTGGGCCCTACAGTGCGACCCAAAATCTTTGGTTATCTCAGATTTTCATGATGCCTTGCACACAGTCAAGGCACCCAGTGCCAGAGGCAGCAAAAACAACCCAAATCATTCATTGAACCTCCACCATATTTTACCGTAGGTACGTGTTTTGTTCTTTGTAGGCCTTTACATTCCGTTTTCGGTAAACAGTAGAATGATTGTGGTTTACGAAAAGCTCTTCTTGGTCTTCATCTGTCCACAAGACGTTTTCCCAGAAGGCTTTTGGCTTACTAAGTACATTTTGGCAAACTGTAGTCTTGCTTTTTTATGTATCTGTGTCAGCAGTGGGGTCCTCATGGGTCTCCTGCCATAGCGTTTCATTTCATTTAAAGTCGACGGATAGTTCGCGCGGGGACACTGATGCTCCCTGAGCCTGCAGGACAGCTTGAATGTCTTTGGAACATGTTTGGGGCTGCTTATCCACCATCCGGACTATTCTGCGTTGCAATCTTTCATCAATTTTCCTCATCCGTCCACGACCAGGGAGATTAGCTACAGTGCCATGGGTTGCAAACTCTTTGATAATGTTGCGCACTGTGGACAAAGGCAAATCTAGTTCTCTGGAGATGGACTTGTAACCTTGAGATTGTTGATATTTTGCCACAATTTTTGGTTCTCAGGTCCTCAGACAGTTCTCGTCTCCTCTTTCTGTTGTCCATGCTTAGTGTGGCACAGACAGACACACAATGCAAAGGTTAAGTGAACGTCTCTCCTTTTTATCTGCTTTCAGGTGTGATTTCTATATTGCCCACACCTGTTACTTGCCCCAGGTGAGTTTACAGGAGCATCACATGCTTGTAACATTCTTATTTATCCGCAGTTGTGAAAGGGTGCCAATACTTTTGTCCAGCCCATTTTTGGAGGTTTGTGTGACATTATGTCGAATTTGCTTTCTTTCCTCCCTTTTTTTGTTTTGTCCCAATACACACAAAGGGAATAAACATGTGTATAGCAAAACATGTGTTAATGCAATACGTTTCGTGAGAAATACATGATTTCCTGGAGAAATATCAAGGGTGCCAACAATTTCGGCCATGACTGTAAATAATAAATGAAACCAAAGCAAAATGAATAATAAATAAATAAATAAATAAATCACAGTCCAGTAATGGTGCTCGCTGATTCCCAGTGCAAAAGTTAGAAATGCGCACTAACCAGAAACATATTAATAATGCGCATGTGTATATGATATCATGGAGATTCCCCTCTCTTTTCTGGTCTGGTAATGGGCAGGAGCTGGAGATAGTAGAGATGAAGCACCCTCGTGTGGCAAAATGGAGGTCCAGCAGGTCACAGAAATCCTTACAGAATCCTTCACACACTTCTGTAAGGATTTCTGTGACCTGCTGGACCTCCATTTCGCCACACGAGGGTGCTTCATCTCTACTATCTCCAGCTCCTGCCCATTACCAGACCAGAAAAGAGAGGGGAATCTCCATGATATCATATACACATGCGTATTATTAATACGTTTCTGGTTAGTGCGCATTTCTAACTTTTGCACTGGGAATCAGCGAGCACCATTACTGGACTGTGATTTATTTATTAATTTTGCTTTGGGTTCATTTATTATTTATATCTGCCCGCAATATAGCAACATCACACAGCGCTGCATTTTCTTTATATATGTTTATACATTAGAAACAAGGAGGTTTGGGTGTTCCAAATGTTACTAAATATTTCTTGGTGCCCAGATTACCCCAATAACCTCCCTTTACACCACAATACATGGCTCCTTATGGGCTGACTTAGAAGCATTGCTCTGTTCTCAAACTTCTCACCATTCACTCCCATGGAGTCCTCCTAAATCCAGACCTACGTCTATCAGCCTCTTGATGGGTCACACACTCTGCACCTGGAACTCTGATAACTATTCCAGCAACTTCATATCCCCTCACTTGCCTCTCTGTCCTTTTGGGCGATCCTAAAATGGTTACAAACGTTACTAATCTGCCACCTTCCCAGGAACCCTCGGTACATCTTATGGCATTTGAAGCCCCCAGGCCTTACGAGTTCACAATTTAAATTGGCTATAAATGTTCTACTAGCGGCAAAACAAAGACTTGGAAACAAGAGCTTGGCCCCCTCGTGGAAGTCCATCTTAGCATAGATGTTGTCTAAGAAAGATGTCTAATAAGAAATTCTTAGAAACCTGGGCCCCGTGTATACATTACACTCACCCCCCCCATGTCCCCTGACACCTACACACTGCTATAGGCATTGAGGCCCCAGGTTTCTGGTAAGGGGGTCCCCAATGTCCTCCATCTGTTCTTCATCTTACCACCTGGTTCTATTTCCTTCCCTCTTCCTTTTCTCTCGGCCCCCTGACCTGGGAGGCCTTGGTTACTGTGTATCTTGCCTATCCTCTGTACAGGACCCGACTCTCACACCCAGTCCAAGAGTGTCTCCCGAATTATGACTAACTCAAGATTTCCCCTCCCCCTCATTTTATTCTCTTCTCCTTCCCTAATTATCCTCTTGTTGCCATTCTTACAATGTGTATGGTTACTGTAAACCCGATCTTGTAACACGCCGCGCTCATTGATCTTTATATCCATCACTTGTATTCTCTTGTATGATTTACGGATGCACGCTGGAATTGTTTTCATGGGTTGGTTACTTCTGAACATTTGTACGAGTTGCACAATGTATCCTACAAAACTTTAATAATAAAAACTTACTGCAAGTGAAAGTTAGTTGGACAAATGTGAGGAGCATTTCCCCCGCCGAGATACATTGTGCCCATCATTTATTTTACACAATGATTTCCTATGATGGTCAGCTCCATCTAGTGGCCTCAATGCAGTATTTTCCTGAAATCCCTCTGTGATATGGGGGTTTGTTAGCTCCTGTGGTAGATATTTGTAAGTGAGTCCACGTCAGTCAAGACTTGCGGTTTATCGGCACGGCAGCCCACTTTTATTAAGAAGGAAAATGAAAGTCTTTACACCATAAGGTTTCCCACGCAGGGGATTGTCCAGCTTTGTCAATACATCAGATAACTGAAAATGCTAGCTCACCTGGCTACACTTCAGCAGCACCACTGATCTTTACACTGGTCCCCAGACTAGGACTTCTTCAGGATTACTCAGCCTTGGTTACACAGCACCTCACTACACAGGTCCACTCCTGGTCTCTACATAGGGTTCCCCAGCCCCCCTCAAGCTTGATCACTCCTCCATTGACTTCTGGACTCCCCCCTGGGATCCACCCCCCCTGGACTCACACAAGCCACTTCAGGTCCCCCAGACTCTTGGAGCTGTCCTGACTTTCCCAGTCCTTGGGCAAGGAATCCCACCTCACAAGGGATGCAGTCTCCAGCAGGAACCCCCAGCTCTCCTGACAGGGTCCTGTCTCCAAATGGCAGAAGACCTGGCCTATAATGATCCTGCCCACCTATGTACTCACACAGGCTGCAGGCATCTAGCAAAGCCTGGACATGGGACTGAAGGTCTTGTCCCCACCAAGAATCTCTGGAACCTTCAAGCTCCAGGTCCCAACCTGGAACTACCAAATCCATTGACAACCTAGAACACAGTTTTCTCTGCTCACAAAATACATGTTGGAGCTTCTCAAACAGCAGCCAGGAGGACCCTGTGTCATTGTCACGGTGGCAGGACTTCACACTTCCACACCTCCATCAGACCTCCAAGTGTTTGTGAGAGCTTCTGCTAGAACATTGACTCCATTTTTATTCTTCTCTTATCAATGGCCAACCCGATCCCACACTTCATCCATGTCTTTGGGGGCCTCTCATCTCCTTATCAACTGTTTCTTCCATGATGAAGATCAGCCATGGAGTATATCTGAGGTGTATATCAGGGTGTGCTTCTTCCCCACATGAGAGCTGGGATGTCCAGCAACATTCATCTAGAAGACATTTCCCACACTCAAGGCACTAATACACCTCCAGGGTTGTGTGGGACCCCTGATGTACAGAAAGACAGGACTTCAGTGAGGAACATTTCCCTCACTCAGGACAGGAAAATGGTTTCTCCCCGTGTGAGACCTCTGCTGTCTGTAAACACTGGACTTGTCTGAAAAACATTTCCCTCACTTAGGACAGGAAAGTGGCTTCTTCCCCGTGTGAGATCTCTGATGTCTGTAAAAACTGGACTTGTCTGAAAAACATTTCCCGCACTCAGGACAGGAATACGGCTTTTCCCCAGTGTGACATCTCTGATGTATAACAAGTCCTGATTTGTATACAAAACATTTTCCGCACTCAGGACAGGAAAGTGGCTTCTCCCAGCGTGAGATCTCTGATGTCTGTAAAGAATAGACTTGTCTGAAAAACATTTCCCGCACTCAGGACAGGAATACGGCTTTTCCCCTGTGTGACCTCTTTGATGTACAAACAAGTTTTGATTTTTGTACAAAACATTTCCCACACTCAGAGCAGGAATATGGCTTCATTCCCTTGTGCAGTCTCTGATGATTATAAATACTAGACTTAGCTGAAAAACATTTCCCGCACTCAGGACATGAGTATGGTTTTTCACCCGTGTGAGACCTCTGATGTTTGACAAGATCTGATTTTTGTACAAAACATTTCCCACACTCAGAACAGGAAAATGGCATCTTCCCCGTGTGAGATCTCTGATGTCTGCAAAGACTGGACTGCTGTGAAAAACATTTCCCGCACTCAAGACAAGAAAACGGATTCTCCCCTGTGTGCATTCTCAGATGTTTGTGAAGACTGGACTTCAGTGAAAAACATTTCCCACACTCAGAACAGGAAAACGGCGTCTCCCCAGTGTGCATTCTCCCATGGTTGTGAAGACTGGACTTCACTGAAAAACATTTACATTCCCACACTCAAAACAGGAAAATGGCTTTTCCCTTGTGTGAGATCTCAGATGTTTGTGAAGATTGGAATTCTCTGAAAAACATCTCCCGCACTCAGGACATGAATATGGCTTCTCTCCTGTGTGAGATCTCTGATGTGTGGAAAGATTGGACTTAGCTGAAAAACATTTCCCACACTCAGGGCAAGAATGTGGCTTCTCTCCTGTGTGAGATCTTTTATGATCATCAAGTTTGGATTTATAATGGAAACATTTCCCGCACTCAGGACAGGAATATGGCTTCTCAGCTGTGTGAAGCCTTTGGTGTGTTTTAAGATTAGACTTTTGTGAAAAACATTTCCGCACACATGACAGAAATATGGTTTTTTCACCTGTGTGAGATCTTTTATGCTCATTAAGATGGAATTTAGAAGGGAAAACATTTCCCGCACTCTGTACAGGAGAACTCTTCCCTGTTGGAAGGCCGGCCCGGTCCCGCACAGTCTGAGGTTCCTCAGGATACGAGGAATCCGATGGTCCATCTACACTGGGTGGTGCCGGATGGACATTGGAGGGAGCCGGGTTTTCTCCTGGACTATACTGTGTGATGTCCTCATCTTCTACTTTCCAGTCTGGAGACAAAGTGAGACAATCCTCGGAGGTTTTCCTCATCTCCCGGCCATGGACTAAAATACAAAGACAAAGAGGATTACTAGACAGGAGCTGATTGGTTCCCCAAACCAGGACTCCACCCACATCAGGCAGCTTGGTCTCTGAGGAGCTTACAATTCCACCCTCAAGGGAACTAGGAAATGGCTCCTCTGATCTCCTACCAGGTCATTTCTTTATTCATGGACTTTAGTCAGAGAGTGAGGAAACAACCAGAACTGTCTTTTATAGGAGGGACAGTGATGAGGGGATTATAGGACGAGGGTCCCCACCCCCTCTATCACTCATCGCCATCTTCCCAACACAAGAAGTACTGCACTTCCTTATTTAGTCCATGATTTAGTCATGAAGAACAGCGGGGCTGAGCCCCACCAGAGGTCAGAGAGTGAGGATGGGGGGAGAACAACCAAGATGAAGACTGGACTGATCCTGAAGACCACCATCATTGGGGTATTGACTCCTCCTCATTATCACTTTCTGTTTAAGGGTCCAAAGTTGGAGGATGTTATCACATTATTATCACCATGTAAAAGTCTGTGCTCCAATCACATCATCCGATATAAAATGTCCAGCTGGGAGGAAATGGGAGCAAAAGAAGTAAGGCCTATGTAATGTACAACTTATTATATCGGAAACAAAAGTTAGGTCTATACAGTCAGATAATGTAATGTACAAAACAGAGTACATAGTGCAGGGGTCAGGAGTATGTAATGTACAACATAGAGTATATAGTGCAGTCAGGAGGATGGAATGTACAACATAGAGTATATAGTGCAGGGGTCAGGAGTATGTAATGTACAACATAGAGTATATAGTGCAGGGGTCAGGAGTATGTAATGTACAACATCAGGAGTATATAGTGCAGGGTATGTAATGTACAACAGTCAGGTGCAGGGGTCAAGTATGTAATGTACAACATAAGTATAGTATGTGCAGAGTATATAGTGCAGGGGTCAGGAGTATGTATATGTACAACATAGAGTATATAGTGCAGGGGTCAGGAGTATGTAATGTACAACATAGAGTATATAGTGCAGGGGTCAGGAGTATGTAATGTACAACAGTATATAGTGCAGGGGTCATATGTAATGTACAGGGGTCAGGGGTCAGGAGTATGTAATGTACAACATAGAGTATATAGTGCAGGGGTCAGGAGTATGTAATGTAATAGTACAACAGGGGTCAGGAGTATGTATGTACAACATAGTGCAGGGGTCAGGATGTATGTACAACATGTATATAGTGCAGGGGTCAGGAGTATGTAATGTACAACAGAGTATATAGTGCAGGGGTCAGGAGTATGTAATGTACAACATAGAGTATATAGTGCAGGGTCAGGAGTATGTAATGTACAACATAGAGTATATAGTGCAGGGGTCAGGAGTATGTAATGTACAACACAGAGTATATAGTGCAGGGGTCAGGACTCATAATATTGGTATTCAGTAATCAGTGGAAGATGAAATGTTTACTGTAGAGAAGTTGCAGAGATCCCACACCGCTGCCTCCCATCTCCTGAGACTGCACTCAGTGACTTGGGTCTGAGACTATACAGACATATCCCTCCACCCGGCACAGCCAGCAGACCACAGAGCAAGGAACCCTGGAGAAATGTTCTGTCAGAGATCCTGTTAGCCCCATGATAAGGGGTAGAGACCCAATACACATGTCCCAGGTCCTAATCATGCAATGCTAAGGTGAACACCAACATTTTGTTGCCAGCTGAACCCCAGAACCTCCATAAATCCAGTCTAGATACATAAATTGTGTCTGCAGCACAGAGAAGGAAGATTATCCGAGAGAAATCCAGGAATACAGGACGGGGAACACAGCTCAGGAAAGTGACCAGGGGATTACAGGCTGATATCACCCAGTCCCCGCCCTACTCTGGACCAATCAGTGAGCAGTATGGGTGGAGGAATGGATTTAGTGTTCATGACCCACCTGTGCTGATCTCTGTAGGAGTGTCCTCCTCTATAAATGTCCCCGTTATTCCATCCTCCTCCATAGACTGCTGATCATCCCTCACATACGCCTCTTCTTCTTCTGCTTTACCTCAAATTCTATATCGATTGGATCTCCACTCTAAATCAAGGAAATGAGAGAAAATATCATCTGTAAAATGTAAGGTCACATAAAAGAACTCCACACATTGTCTCCATGAGTCCATGTTCTAGATTCTCCATCCCACCAACCTTGTAATGGTGAGGGATGGTGTGACCTTCCTGTGTGGAATCCCGGGAATACAGAGGACGGGGACATCTCTCTGGTGGGTTCCTGGTATTAGGTGGCTCCATCATATCCTTGTGTCCTTCTGAAAACTCCTCCATCACTCCATACTCCTCATCCTCCTCTTTATACTCTTCTTTAACATCAATATTATCATCCCCGAGGATTCCACTCTGAAAGATATAATAAAACATTCATTGTAACAAACATGCTGTGTATAAATCACAACTACCAATAATTGTCATCATCTACCTGATGATGGTGAGGGATGGTGTGACCTTCCTGTGTGGAATCCCGGGAATACAGAGGACGGGGACATCTCTCTGGTGGGTTCCCATGACTGGATCCATCTGTAGGAAACACACACACTGACTGAATCCATTGTTTCTATGTGTTTATCAGATGATGGGGGATCTAGGTGGATCCTCCGTACTGCTCTCTCCTTTACAATAAAGTCTCCTCTTACCCGGTGATGTGAGGGGCGGCTGATTGTCCATCATGACGTCCTTGTAGAGATCCTTGTGTCCTTCTAAATACTCCCACTCCTCCATGGAGAAATAGACAGTGACACCCTGACACCTTATAGGAACCTGACACACACAATGATACAGTCACCATCCAGACACATCCCTTGTCTGTTACTGGAGAATGTCCCAGAATTCCCGGCACCGCTCACCTCTCCTGTCAGCAGCTCAGTGATCTCTCTGGTGACTTCTAGAATCTTCTTCTTCTTTCTCTCTTCTATCAGGGAGGGAGGTGGAGGCAATGTGATGTCATATGATCTCCAGACTTCACAGGAGGAAAACTCTACATCTGAACACAAATAGTCACATCAAATGATATTCCCAGAATCCTCCTCACCTCTCCATTCAGGTCTCCATTTTATTAAAGCCCCACTTCAGGCTGAGGTATAATTCCCCCCCACAGGACCCCCACACTACGCAGGGTATAGGCTTGTTGCAGCATTCTGATGTCATTACATACAACGCAGGACCAACAGTCCCACTTTACATGTGAGGATACCAAGGGGCCCCACATCCTAAGAGCATCAGAAAAATATCAGGTGGAGAGGACATTGGGGGAGGAGCTGTGAGGTCAGTGTGATGTTTCCTCCCCCCCAGGGTCACTGCAGGTGTGGAGAAAAGCTGTGTAAGAGGATATGGAGGAGAGATGAGGAGGAGGAGATCCAGGAATCAGGAGAAAGGTCAGGGCAAGCAACAGACGAGCGCATCCAAGAGACCAAGCCGGGGTCACTACACAGAAAATCAATCCAAGGAAACAACAGGCAGGACGAGGAATAGCAAGAAGGAGCTGAGAGACAAATGAGAATATTGCTCAGCCAATGGGAGATGATCTCAGCATGACTTCCATCATGAAGGAGATGAGGGGGAGGGGAGGAAGTCACTGAAGGTGACCATAGATCCATGGAAATTCAGCTGGTTCAGCAGGGATCGCTCACATTTCCATCCATGTGTGGCCACTGCCGGATAAAAGCCACTCCCCCAGCGGCTGCAGCCAATAGCTTCAGTGCTGATCTGTGTATTCTGAGAGCGGAGGAGTCCCCCCATTGTCAGAATACAAGAGTGCAGCGGGGAGGATTCCCCCATCCACCTCCAATGTGTGGATGGGGGAATCACTTCAGTTTTTATGGTCATCCCGCTGGCTGAACGATAAAACTGAACCATGTAGGCCAGCTTTGGGAGCAAATATATTATCATCAACTCCTCCCCCTGAAGGGGTTCATCTACGTATTACCTCCTCTGCTGCCAGAATCAGAAATGTGGACTCTCTACTTCTTCCTGATTCACCTCTCTCCTGAAACTTCCTGTCTGTACCTGACATCACTTCCTGTCTGTACCTGACATCACTTCCTGTCTGTCTTCCATAGAGACTTCCTGTCTGGGTAGAAGTGAGATCCCCACCTTGTGGAGCTCAGAGGAACTGCAGCCCCGAGAAGCGTCCTGTAGTGTGACATCTGTGCTATGTGTGGATACAAAGGGGTCACCCCCAGCTGGGAGTAAACTCCTCGGGTGGAAATGGCTGGTGACCCCCAGAACATTGGTGGGCCCCCCAGCTGGGAGTAAAGGGTGGAAATGGCTGGTGACCCCCAGATTTGGGCAATGATGTCATCACTATAAAAATGGATAAAACCCGCGCTATGTGTAACAACTCCAAACCTACAAAAACCTTCTAGCGGACTGCTGCTGTAACAAAGGGAAGGATTCCCTGTCATCTAGAAGAGCATTATGTGTCACAGCGCTGTCCTATTGTGTGTGCACAGAAATCATCACAAATACACTACAAATATGTGGAGACATTCAGAGATAAAGAGCTCGGGGCTCCAAATCCTATTCTCTGCACATCCACTGCTTCCACTTTACACCCACTTCATTGGTCTTATGGGGTTTATCAATAAATGAAGGAAACTGAACCGTGTGCAAATCCATCGCGTCTCCAATGTCCCATTACAGCACAGGAGGGAAATCCCTAGGAGCAGCTGCCGTGACCTACCTGGGATCAGGAGTGGTCCCTCTGTGGAGGTAGAGCGAGGTGTGCGGGACCCTTCCAGGTTGGGCTGGCCGGCTGGTGATGGAGAGTGAGAGTGCGGCTGAGGCTGGAGGAGGAGGAGAGCAGAGATCCAGCGTGGACGCTGAGCATTCACATTACTCGCTGCAAAGGAGTCCTGGGAGCTGGGGAGAAGCTGGCTGGTGTGAAGGAGTGCAGGAAGTGGCGGACCTCTCTCCCCTCTCCTTACCACCCCCCTCCTTGATACCATCAGGCTGGAGCTGTTGGGTCCCCTTGTAGGGGCTGAGGGAGCCCCCCCTTGAAAGCTGTACCAACAGCCAGGGAAAGCAGAACATCTCACTCTCATTCAGGAGGAAGACCCCATCTGAAGACTGAATCATCTGGTGTGGAGGGAGAAAGAAGAGATCAGGATGGTGGACTGAGATGAAATGAAAAAAGAAAATTTAAATGAAATAACTTATTATATTTGTAATAACAAAGTGCAGCGCTGAGAAATTGTGTAAAAAGCAAATAGTCCGTGGTTAATAGCTACATATAAATATATAGTCCCAAGAAAAAGCTGATGAAAACCAGGAAGCAATGGAAAGAGTGCGCACTCACCGGAAAACGCGCATGGGAAAATGCGCATGAATGAATAACTCCTGGAATCCTAGAGTAGATGGAGAGGGTGAATTCCAATATGTTTTTTTAGGATCAGTCAGCCTGGGAAGATATATCAGAGATCCGGAGGTCCCCTTAAGGTTGGTATGATTTACAGCCAGACTCCAAAACAGCTCCGTCCCCTCTGGTGGTGATAGGTGAGTACTACCAGGGACCCTGCAAATGGATTTAGCTCCAATGGGAACCAAAAAACAGGTGCCCATAGTAGGTAGTATTTTTAAAATAAGTTTATTAATTGACTCAAAATGACAGGCAGGGTAGTAAGGCTGTGTACAGAACATATATGAAAGCAGAGTAACGCAGCAATGGTACTAACCCTGAATTAAAATGGCCGCATGGGCTGTCTCGTGGCTCCGGGCAGAAGAATGACGTCATGCTCTGTTGGTTCCTCCTAAGGCCTTTCGTGCCCAAGCACATCATCAGAGGGGATTTTACCAACCAGAGCATGACAGACTCCATCTGATTTAATTCTGAATCGCGGCGTCGTTCGCGCATGCGCAGTGCGGCGCCCGCCATTTTTGCCGGAGTCTGTGGAGTGCGCCTGCGCGACTCCATAGACGCCATTTTGCCATAGGTTACAAGCATATGCAGTTCCTGATTATTAAAACGGTTTGTTACTAACATTAAGTGGTACAACCAAAACCTAATAAAATTACATTAGGGTCAAATAAAGATGAGGATTACAAACAAATACTCAATGTAACAGATGGGTAAAGTGTCAACCCAAAAAAATCTATTTATTAGCCAAATGATAATCAGGATTATTATACTCTGCATTACGGCAAAAGGGCACAAGGTGGTGCTAGCTCCAATCGGAGTAAAGCACTAATAATGAAATGTACTGCAGAAAGGAACTAACCTAATATATAGTTGTAAAAATTATATACATGATGTTACAAATATATTAATAAAACATGTACCAATATCAGGATTATGTTATACAATTTCCTAAAAAATCATTGATAAAGACTCACTATAAAATCAATAAAAGATAAAAATAAAAATAAAAATATAAAGATAAAATTGTATAAAAGAGACAAAGGAAAAAATAAAAATACCAGGAATCATGGGATATTAAAGGGCTAAATAGGGCGAAAGATGTGTAGCTTAATAGTAGTCAATTGTTTGCAATAAAGCAGTTGACATCAATTCTATATTGTGTCCTAGTGGGTGTAAAGTACCCAGTTCATATTACCACTTAGATTTCTATGCTTGTGACAGCACTGCAAAGGGCGCATTTTTGTTCATGCCTCTCCAGTGTGGGAGAGATGATATCAATGGCCTCCGTAAACTTAAGCGAGGTGGGATCTTGATTGTGATAGATCCTATAATGATTGATAAAGCATGGTCCCTTGTATCCTTTTCTTAATATTGGATACATGCTCGGCGGTAGGTAAACGATTCACGTTAATCTCCTAGTGGTGCGACCCACCACACATATTGTTTTAACGCAAGGGCATTGTAGTAAGTACACTATGTACCTACTATTACAAGAAATGAAATGCCTTTAGTATATGTTTGACCTGTAACATGTGAAATTAAATTGTATTTACACGGCGTTTCCTGGTATTACCTCATTTACAATAAGCAGCGAATAATAAAAAAAGATTTGGGATATTCTTAAGGCCTGATCCATTTTTGGAGTAATATTCTGCCAGAAAACCAGAATAGGAACAATTTTGTGTTTAGGAGAGCGTCCTCTATGAGACACAGTCTGGCACCTAAAGTCATTGACCCCAAAAATGTAAAAAATTTTTTTGCCGACCTAAGGGTTTTTTCCATGTAAAGGGGCGTATTTGTAAATGTGGTAATACCCCGAAACCAGGGTACATTAATG